TGCCTGCCTCAAGTGAGGCTCTGGCGGATCCAGGACACTGCTCTGCTCCCTGTCCCTGACACCACATCTCCCGAGGCCATGTGGGGGAGCGGAGCAGTTCCCTGGAGCTGGAAGAGCCTCACTCGGGGCAGGCAGTGGCTCCTCCCTGAGGTGAGGCAAGGCAGGGATGGAGGCTGGGGCAGGTGGCTGGCGTGGGCTCTGCTGGCTCCGGAGGAGTGCTCTGCTCCCCAGCCCTGATGTGGGGGAGCGGAGCACTTCCTCGGAGCCGGCAGAGCCTGTGCCAGGCTCCAGGCTCCCACCCCCACCTCGCCTAGGAGCTGACCTTCAGCTCCGCTCCTGGTACACGGCCTTGAAAAAGCTGTGCGCGGCCACGCTTAGTTGTGCGTGGCCACGCACGCTCACACTTTAGAGGGAACCTTGGAGGCAGCTCAGGTCCATAATCCCTGGCAAGCGGCCAGGCTTTTTGGTGCACAAGGGGTGCATGGAGAGATACCCTGGGAGCTGATTGGGTGACTTGGGTCTCCGACCCCTGGCATGAGGCCAGAAAACCTGGTGCAGATAGTCCTGCACAGAGGGTCCAAGAGTGGACCCAGACCCTAGGAGCTGCATGAGGCAGCTTGGGTCTTCCACCCCTGGCATGAGGCCAGGAACTCGGTGCAGGCAGTGCTGCACAGAGGATCTGGGAGCAATCAGAGAACCTGGCGCTGCACAAGGCAGCCCAGGTCTCCAATGCTAAGCAAGAAGCCAAGCCCTTGGTGTACGTGATGGTGCACAGAGCCCTGAGGGGCAGTGTCCCAGGGAAAGCCCAAGGAAACTGGGCAATAGGTACAACTGTCAGTGCACCTGATGGTACAGAGGGCTATGAGTGGGCTGGTGGCCCAGGGAGACCACAAGGGTGGTGAGCGTGTCAGAGAAGGAGACACTTTGCTATGAGTTACCGGGAGACAGGGGATTCCCACAGGGGAGGAGGGATTTGCCCCCTCCCTCCCCCCACAATACTAACCTTTGAAGAGAAGACCCCTGAAGGGAGGGGCCCCCATGGGGTTTTTGGAGTTTCTCGGAGGGGGGATGTTTTAACAGGGATGTGGCAGGCCTGAAAGCATTGGGGATTTTCTGCTCCCTGTCACTGGAGTGCAGTCACAGCTCCAGGACAGACTGGGCCTTGGTGTCCCTTAAAGAATGGTTTGAATTTGATATTCCTGGTACCTCATATTTTATGAGATAGCGCCTTATATTTTGTAAACTTGTAAGTTATATTTGTAAGTGAAACTATAATAGAGTTTAAAGTTGTATTTCCTTTTTTGAAACCCTGGTTGGGATGTTATCATGTTATTTACCTGTATCCTGAATGAAGGTATAGGATTGTGTAGATATTATCCACAGTTTATGTTGTCGTGTATATATTATATATGTATATGTAGCAGGCTTACCTTTTCAGAGCTTGGGTTGAGTCCCAGGATCAAGGGTCTGCTGTTTGATTGGTGGAGCCCACCCACCAATCCAGAGGCAGTACAAGGGAAGCAATGCCCCACACTTTTCCAAAGGGAGGGGCCAAGGAGCAGCTGGACCTGAATCGGAACTGCACCAGCCAGGTTCGGAGAACTTCAGGGGTGGAGCCCCTGAAGAGTACAAAAGGAGAGTGTGCTCAGCAGGCTGGGGAGAGACGATGAGGGATGGTGAGGAGAGAGGAGACCTAGAGACGGCCATCTTCAGGACCCTGCTTGAGCTTCAGTGGTGCACAAATTGGTGCATGTGGATCAGGTTCTAGGAGCTGCTTGCAGCAGCTTGAGCCTGTGAACCCAGCAAGCGGCTGGGCAGTTGGTGTGCAGATCGGCACGTGGAGAGCTGGCCCTGGAAGCAGCTCAGGTCTGCTCAGGCCCCGCATTGCGTGCAGATCAGCACACAGAGAGCTGGCCCTGGGAGCAGCTCACGGCTTACCTGGTGCGCAGGTCGGCGCATGGAGAACCACCTTGGAAGCAGCTTGTGGCTGCTCATGTTAGCCCCGGCCCTAGGCCGAGTGACTGGAGCCCTGCAGCGCGGCTCCACTTTTAACTAAAAGAGCCCCAGTGCCCAGAGCAGGGCCCGGGAAAGGGGAGAACCCCTGGTGTGAGACCAGCGAATTGGAGCCTGCAAGGGCTTAACTCCCGCAAGAGAGAGAGCCCTAGGTGCCCAGTGCAGGGCGCCAGGCCATCGAGGAGAGCCGAAGATGCTGCTGGGGAGAAGGTTATGCGGGATTGGCCACCAGGGCACGAGCCTTGACTTCTCCAGGGAGGAAGCGTGAGTTACTGGGGAAGTAGGCCCCGCAGGGGAGGCTGACATGGGTGAGAAGGGTCTGCTACCTCCGCCCTCCATTGCGGGAAGGGCGTGTCCACATCCCAAGGGCCCTAAAGGGGGAGGGGGCTTCAGGGAAACCCCTTAGGGAGGTGCTGAGTGCACTCCATATTTTGAGGGTGTCATATTAAGGGCTATATAGCTAGGTGTATTCTTTAAGCGGGTTTATGTGTTTTAATGTCTCAATGTGTATATTGGTATTGTTATTTGTGAAGGTTTAAAGAAATATTATGGTTACTATCCCCATGTGTTAATTGTGTTGTATAGGTTGTAAGTTATTTGGTTCATATTTGTTGTTATATGTGAATTGTGGAATATTATATATAGTATTTTATGTTAAGCCTTGTAAATATTCTATGCTTTATATTGTCTGTATTTATTCTTCTAATAAATTGTACATAGTTAAGTATTTGGTTTCAGCCTAACTCTGTAGAGAGGGGAGGAAGCTGCTGTAGTAGCTGACCCCTTCCTCAGCACCCTGCCTGACCACCACCACTGTCATCAGAGGACAGGGCACACTGTCCCGGGTGTACCCAGGCTACATATATATTTCTCTTTATGGTTCATGATCTTAATAAATATGTAAATTGTTAAGCTGCAGTGTCCTGGCCTGGCTCTATAGGGAATGGAGGGAAACTGTGCTCAGCCTGCAGTTTCCACCCACAGCACACCTGCTAACAATCCCCTTCAAGTGGAGAAGGGAGTACATACCTGAGTACACCTGGGCTACATGCAGCTCAGGTTCAGATTTCTGCATTCCCACCCATTCCTCTGAGATGAGGATCTCTAGGCCAGATAAGGAGGGAGCAGGGAAACTGAGTCAAGGCCTGGGACCTATATTCTTTCCTAGGGTCACCTTTATGAGCCTTGGGTGTGATAACCACTGGCCTGGGCATTGACTCCCTAGAAACTGTCCCTCACAATCTGTTTCTCTCAGGCTAAGTATTGGGATACAGACTGAACCACTCCCAGGATCAGTGTCCTGGAGAAAGACTATAATGATAGAGCCAAAAGAGGGGCAAAGGGTCTTCACAATTCCCCAGCACTGAGGGTCTGATGCGAGTCAACAAAGGCTGAGAACCACCTGCCTAAGACCATAGCCTCAGAAGCAGCAGGAAAGCAGATGTCCTGTCCCCTTCTGAAATCCCCCACTTCCCCCCATTCTGTGTCTACATGTTGCGTGGTCTTGGGAGAAGGCCAGAAGCAGGCTGTTTTGGGGCAAGCATCCCTGGCAAGGCAGGCTTGGGCATGTGAAGAGGAGTGAACAGCCTCTACCTTCTGGCATGGGGGGGTGGGGAGAGAGGCTTCCTCAGAACATTAAAGTTGGAAGGGCCCTTAGCGGGTCATCCAGTCCAACCCCCTGCTCAAAGTAGGACCATCCCCAACTGCATCCTCCCAGCCAGGACTTTGTCTAGCAGGACTTAAAAACCTCCAAGGATGGAGACACCACCACCACTCCTCTAGATAACCCGTTCCAATACTTCACCACCCTCTGAGTGGCAAAGTTTTCTTCATATCCAACTCCTGCTCCGCTTCCTTTGCACCCATAACACTGAGAGAACAAGGGCTGTGATCAGTTTCCCTCCGCTAACCGCTGCATAGCAACAAACGGTACCAAACGCAGTCTTGCCACTCAGCAGGCGAGCACGGGCGCCTAGGGCCACGATGCCCCGCTCTCCAGTTGCCTGCGTGCTTGGGTTGAGGTGTGTGGGTGGAAGAAGGGGCCGCTAACACGTGTGATGCCCGAGAAAAGCTTTTATTTCCATGCTACACGCGGCCTCGTCCTCGCATTTGGAATTGCGCCTCCACCCGCTGTGCGCGCGCATCTCCGGGCTCCCCCACCCCGCCCCGCCTGGAGACTACAGTGACCAGCATGCACCGCGCCCGGCAACTCAATGTTGGCGCCCACCTGGAGACTACAGGCCCCCGCATGCACTGCGCCTGCCCCTTGCGCGCGAGTCTGTGCGCACCGCCGCAGTGCACGCTGGGACTGGTAGTTTGTGATGTACAAACGGGGAGTTAGGGCGGAAAAAAAAAAAAAAAAAGCACTCGGGAGCGTTGCATGCCGGGAAACGGCGGCTCTGCAGCGCGCGTGGATGCCCCTTGACTTACGTTCCGCGTTACTGTCCCTTTTAAGCGTGGCCGGGCGCTGCGCCTGCGCAATAGCGCCGTGACCTCACGCTCAGGCGGTGGCGGCGGCTGCTCGTGACTGTTGAGCCCTGTTCCCACCCCCCACCCCCCCCGGCGGTGGCAGTTGAGCGCGCGAACCCCGGTCTGGAGCCGGCGGCGCGAGTGTTGCCATAGCGACCCCCCCAGGCGGCGGGCGGACAGGCGGGCCATGGCGGAGCCGGCGGTGACGGAGATCCGCGTGCCGGGCCCGCGGCCGCTGCGGCTGCTGGAGTGGAAGGTGCCGCTGGGGGCGGCGGTGCTG